CTATCTATATATATATCTATATATATATATATATATATATAGATATATATAGATAGATAGATGAATAGATAGATAGATAGATAGATAGATAGATAGATAGATAGATAGATAGATAGATATAAGCAAACAGGTTATATGATGATTAATAAGAGAGTGAGAAATAAAGTTAGTGAAACGGAGAGATAAGAGATATAAAGAGTTAGATATGAAGGCACTAAAAAGAAAAGCTGATATATAAATTGTATGAACAACAGAATAGTGTAATTGGAGTGATAGGCAGATACATAAATAATCTGAGAGAAAGGCGAACAGATAAAACAGGCAATAACAATACATAGGAGAATGAAAGACCGATTGTACAGATTAAATGGTTGATGGTAATATAGGTAGATATATGGGTAGATACATAGATGGCCAAACATGCAGACAAATATAAATAGCTAAACAGAGATAGATAGATAGATAGATAGATAGGCATACCGACAGACAGACAGACAGAGAGACAGATAGATAATTTGGAGAAACTAAATGATAGATAAATAGAGTTTAGTCATTTGAATATATGCACACCGAAGGAGAGAGTCAGACACAAAGTGTTAAAAAGTTTTCAAACCGACTCGCTTCTCAAAATTTTATAAAATTTCCAAAAAGCAGAAATATTTTTGTCTTTTTTTGGTTGGGAAGAGAGTATTTCAGGATATCTTCGTATACATACATGCAGATAGATAGATAGATATATAGATAGATAGATAGATATGAACAGGCTGAGATAGATAGATAGATAGATAGATAGATAGATAGATAGATAGATAGATAGATAGATAGATATGAATAGAGTGAGGCAGGCAGACAAATAGATAGATAGATAGATAGATATGAACAGAGTGAGGCAGGCAGACAGACAGACAGATAGATAGATAGATAGATAGATAGATAGATATGAACAGAGTGAGACAGGCATACAAATAGATAGATAGATACATAGATAGATAGATAGATAGATAGATAGATAGATAGATAGATAGATATGAACAGAGTGAGGCAGGCAGATAGATAGATAGATAGATAGATAGATAGATATGAACAGAGTGAGGCAGGCAGACAGACAGATAGATAGATAGATAGATAGATAGATAGATAGATAGATAGATAGATAGATAGATAGATATGAACAGAGTGAGGCAGGCAGACAGACAGATAGATAGATAGATAGATAGATAAATAGATAGATAGATAGATAGATAGATAGATAAAATTATGTGATTTTTCTTTCTTTTAATTAAAAGGCTTTTCTTAATCGTGTACACTCCAGAGAAAAGTGATAGAGATAGATAGACAGGCATACCGACAATGAGAGAGAAGAACATGGTGATTAAATTGACATGGCATATTTCAAACCTCTCCCATGATTTTTATATTTTATTCTCCTATTAAAATGTGACTTCGTGAGAGACGATATTTTACTCCTTGAGAGTTGAAACCAATAATTTTGCATTCAAGATTTGACATTATTTTTTATAAATATCTTGAGTTAAGAAAAAATATTTAGTAAACTTGTGCATGTCCCCAAAATTATTACCTGTGAAGGAATTTTACAGTTCACAGCAACTCAAGTCTGAACAGATTGTCGTTGTCAGCAAGTGAATAAAAAGTTATATTTTCGAAAATCGTAAAGAGTGCTACATTTTGGTTTTGAATGTTTCTTGTCCGGCAAACAGAATAAATACTAGTTCAGAAATATACAATAAATCACATTTTTAAAAATCTTTCCGGTACTAAGAAAAGACCGAATGCAACAAACATCTGTTTTAAGTCCGAAGAACATATCGGTGGAATTATTTTGATCAAAATAAAAAAGAGGAAAATATTCATTCGAATTGGCAAAGAAACAGTATGATTTCTTCATAATCCTGAATGCGAAAACTACAGTAAAGTGGGTTCGTTTTGAAGAAGAATATATTGTTTGAACTTTGATAACAAATAAGAAAGATTCTAGTAATTATGACTTATGGTAACCTCCAGGAGAGCATTCATTGCTTTTTCTCGATCTTACATTTTCCATTGAGATGAAGTGGAAGGATTATATTGTTTCAATTGTTAAGTCTACTGCTAGAAAGCCCGGTTCACAATAATTGCAAGACAATTTTTTTTCGGCGAAATCTATATTTATGCCTGCTATTCATCTATATTTTCGAATATTGCTGCTAAATCTGGTCTGCTGATTCTGCTATATTTCTAAAGAATTTTGACAAAATCTAATCTGCATTATCGATTCTAACTTAGTATCTTGCATTCAGTCACATTCACACGGCCGTAACGTAGCTTTTCCATTTCTTTTCTATAAATATATTGACGTTAATTGTTTTGATGAGCTTTCTTCTTTGATATCTTGACTTCACGAATTTAAGTGTAGTAGTAGATTGTCAGCTAGACCTCCTAATTTTACTGTTGAAACTGCTAGTTGTAAAAGTAAGTTCTATTCTAATAGTTTCTTTTTCCAGCACTTCTCGCTTACGGAATATTCCTCTGGATTCTATGTTAATACCTATCTTCAAAAAATTTAATATAATTTCAATAGTCGTCTTTTTTCTTGTTGAACTTTGTTCTTTTATTGACCTGTATGTTTTGTTATAATCTAAGTAACGTCTTGCATATTGGATGCTTTTTTTCACTTTGCATGAGATGAAATTATTTTAAAAAATGTATAAAATATTAACAAATGGAATTCAAAGCCCTATCAGAAGTAATATAAACATTCAAAGGCTGTAGAATATTTTGACCAAATCCGTAACTTTGCTGTTTCTACAGTGTAACCCGGATATAAGAGAGTTGTCGGGAGCGGAGAAGAAATCTCTTCTATCCGGGTTTCTCTTATATCCGGGTTTGGTCTATTTTATATACATTAACACGGGCTCTAATTTGGGACCAGAGAAAATCTCTCTTATATCCGGGTTTCTCTTATATCCGGGTCTCTTATATCCGGGTTACACTGTACTATCAAACACGCATAAGCGTAACGCATGCACACAAACACATAGCATAGGCTATAAAGAGAAAATAGACTGGGAATGGTTGAAAAGAGGACATCAACGGTGTCATTTTTTTTTATTGCAATACAATATTTCATCGCAATAATAGTCAGAAAATTGTACCATAAAATCAAACATGCAAAATACCAATGGAATAACAGCGGAAGTTTTTTTTTTTTATTTGTGTAAGATTTTCAAAGAAAACCTATTTTATTATTGTTGACCTTTTTAATGATGCCAAATACAGAATCAAACGAAATTGCATTTGCATTATTAGACTCAATCGGAAGTTGAAAAAATGCCGAACATTTTTTAACTACCGGTCTTGTCTAATAATGTTTATTGTTTAAATATGTTTAGCATTGCCACTTATAACTTATAATAGCTCTCCTTTCATAGCTTATTTTTTCTTTCATGACTGTAAAATGATAAGATTCAAATGCTGTCAGAAACTGTATTAAATGTGAATATTCACTTATGTAATAACAGATTGAGTACATATAATTGTAGCGATTTAGTTGCATTTTTTTAATTTAATTTTATAGTACAGGAAGTTGGTTACGAGAAATTAATACAGTCAAGGGCTTTAGATTTTGTAACATGGCATTCTTGGTTTGCATTGCTTACTTAGATTAAACTATTTTGTGTAAGATCAGTATCGCATGGGAAGTAATTTCAGATTACAATGTAAAAATATCTTCTACTATGAAAGGAAACACAAAGAAAGAAATAGAAACGATAAATGAAAGTTGACATAAATGAGTGTATAGATGAAAGATAGAGAATGAAAATCGCAATAAAATTTGAAAGTAAGAAATATTAAGACAAAAAAGCAAAGTAAAGAAGAAATAAAAAAAATGAAAGGATGATACAAAGAATGAAAAAGAAAAGGAAAAACATATAAAAAGAAAAAAGGAAGGAAAGAGAAAATAAAGAAGTATTATTGAAGTAATTGCCAAGATTAAACAAAAATGAATATGTAAATATGTAAAGAGTTAGGTGTGCGTATAGCGTGCGTAATATTTATCGGTATGTAACTTGAGATTGACGTTTTCAAGTTCAAATTCTAGTCGATACCGTTGTGAACGGCTTTGTACAAATAATCCTTGGGAAAGTTATAAATTCATATTTTCTACTTTGCCATCATCTTAGAAAGTCCTCTCTAGCTTTCGTTGACAATCAGTATGGGAGAAGCAAAATTTTGGATTCAAAGACATTTGGGCGTGGGACAGTAGGAAGACAGTATAAGGACGAAGGCGATTATAATTTAAGAGAATGTCGTAGAGAGTAAAAAAAAAGGAAGAAAATTGATGAAGGAAGAACGATAAATACAACAAACAAGGGAAATAAAAAAAACAGTAAATAACAAAAATATATTGAGAAATTGTCGCCATTGAATATTTCTAGATTTAAAAAATCTAGGTATCTTTCGATTCATGACTGAATAAGCACAATATCTACCACATTGGACTACAGTTTCTTTTCACCGTAGACTAGTTGCCAACCAAGACTATAGGACCCAGTTTTTTCTGCTATTCATTCTATATCTGGAGTGAAAAGAAAGGAATTCATACCTTTACAAAAGATATTTCCGCGAAAGGGAATCAAAAATTTAATGAACTGACTATGAATTTGCATGACGTTAGTCTTTTAGCATGTAAAAATGAGCGCGGATGTTGCTGCGTGCTAGGAAAGCTAGGACCCTGTAATAAAAAAAATAAAAATAAAAATCAGGATGCAAATAAAAAAAAACAAACGAAAAAAGTAAATAAATAAATAAAAGCATTGAATAACAGTTAATTTATAAAATTTCTTTGAATTAACCCAATTATAGCAACCTTAAAATACAGTATTATAATAAAATCCGATATTAAATTTTATGTTTCAAACAGAAATTTAGTATAAGTTCATAAGAAAATCTATATTAATTATAGATTTATATGTTCAGTATTAACTATAAATTTTATATTTCTAACAGAAATTTGATATAAGTTCATAAGAAAATCTATATTAATTATAGATTTATATAAGTCCAGTATTAACTATAGGTTACCACCTATATTTAGTATTAATTGTAATTTCAGAAATAGGACAGTGGTTATTAATGTGTGAAAGACAAATGAACATATATCTTGGGCGTTTCCTTTTAAAAAATTGATTTCACCAACTATTTCTATATGTTCTCAATCTTTACTAAGCCTTCGCAAGAAAAAAGAAAATAATTTGTAAAAAGAAATAACCGAAACATTGGATGAACGTAAATCAAAGAGCAATAAGCGGAGTTAACATCAGTTTGCAAGATATAAACCGAAAAGATTGCAAGAAACGTTGTAACCACTTTAGTCTTGTTTGAAAGCGAACTCATAGAAATATATTTCCAGTCGCAGTCATATGAAATAAGTCTATTTAGTTCAGGCAAAATCTTAGAAAAATTATTATAAAAATTTCTGACAGAATATCGAACAGCGAGTAGTATTTTTAGCTATTATTTTTTCTCTATATATATTTTAAAGGATTGACTTTTTTTGTAGTAAAATACAGTGTATGGCATTTTAAGAGATCGCTAGATACGGTTATAAAATTTATTTCTGGACGTCTGAGTGACCTGATTATACTAAGTATATAAATATTGCTCACGCTTGGGTTACATTTTATATATAGTTAAAAATCCGTACTGTTTTTGTTTTAGTATTCGAAGCATTTACTTTTATGCATTCAAAAAACTTTGATTTTTACTGCATTGTCTATTCACACATAAGAAGAGAAAGCTAGAGGCAAATGAAATGTAATTATGTAAACATAGAACTCGGCCCTCGTCCAAGCTTTCCGCTGACTGGTCAGTGATTATCCCGTGTTATATTCCGGTTTTCGATCACGTCGGTGTACACTAGGAAAAGCTAAGAAAAGGCGTGATGCATGCTCACAAGTTTAACACAATGAAAGACAAACGCGACGTTGAGAAATAAAAATGTGAACCCTGTTTCCCATTTTATGTGTAGGTGTTTATTCAGGGCTTCGTCCATTCGTCTGTGTTGGTAGATAGATGATATTTTGGACAAGTTCTTCTATGCCAGCTCTTCCCCCTCTTACCAATTCTTCACCCATCTACTCATCACAACGCAGTGACAGGGAATTCGAAATAGAACCACGGGCACGTATGTCTTCCGCTAAAGATGGACCAGGACTCTACCCGATCCCAACCATGACTGTTAATATAAAGCAGCACCCGGATATACCCTATTACCGGTTTTGTTGTCATTTAATCCCAGAAAATCCTTTTACTTTCCATTCCCTTTTGCTTAAAGTGGATGCCGTTTAGAAAGCTGATCAACAAAAGG